TTTTAATTGACCCATGTTATATTGCTTTATACATATAATTGCATTAATATTTATTAATCGGTCTGCATAACGTAACGTCGGACGTGGACTATATTCCATTAAGGTCGACGTTGCGATTATAACAGTAATTCGGAGTAATTGGATTTTCAACAAACCGGAGCGGTCGAAAGGCTGTAGCCATCAAATTGAATGATTTTTTTCCAATTTTTTGACGGATCGAATGAACATTAGAACGCCTTTACAGGTCTCCAAGTTCTTAGAGAATCTTTGACACTACAGTTCGGAGGCAGTTTCTAGTTGTCGGAGACTTTTTCATGTTGGCACTTCGACCGACAGATGCCATGAGAACCTTTGAATCGCCAGTTGGTCCGAGCAAACCTTTAACAGGTGAAAAAACATGCTAGTACTTAGAAGCCACTTTGCTAACATATTGTACACATTGTACAAAAGTACTAAAAACCAATGACTAAGAGTTTTGAATTTGTAAAAATTTTATGATTTTATTGAATGGACGAAATACCAAAAGAAAACCATTCAACACAAATATATTATACTTTTTGTAATAAAAAAAATTACCTAAATGAAATTTTATTACAAACTGCCATCAAAACAAGAAACGCTTTAAGAGAGTTGTATAGTACGTTGTTGGCCATTTTGTCAGTCATGTGGAAAAGTTTATATAATAAAACTATGATATATTGTCATTATGTATTTGTTTGCTTTGAATTTTGTGACTTTTCTGTTTGCAATAACGTATGTTTTAGTGTATCTATAATATATTTTTTGGAACACGGAATTTTTGTATCAACGCCCTTTATCTATTGACCGAATTATGTCCGACTATGTCTACTAAATGTACATAATATGTTAAGCTTTCCATCATTAATGCCCCGATGAACACTTCTTTAAACAAACATTCCGAATTCGTCTCGAAGAGTAGACATGAGAATAAGTTCTACTTGTCCAACTTCACCAGGAACGTAAGCTGAATTGTGTAGGTCAGTTGTCAGAGAGATCGCATAGCGTAAAGCCCTGAGTTACATGTTTCTTAGGTTTTGTTTTAATATTTGTATGTCGCTCTACATTTTATTATAGAGCTCTATTTCAACAGTGATAATACTGTTTTATTGAATGTTAGCAGATTATTTTTTTCGGCTCCACTTTGTATATACCAAAGCTTAATGGTTCACAATCTAATATTATTGCAATTTCGCCTATATTACCCCTTTAGCGAAAAATAAATTTCATGATATATGTAAAGTAATACACTGATAACATTAAAAAAAAATTATGAGAATTTTGTTAATTTGAGATAAAGCTATACATTTACGTGTATGGTCTTAACACCTCAGTGCGGGTGATATTGGTTGAAAATCTGGGTAATACAAAACCTTTGTTTCATTCGATGAAATTATGAGCTTGCTCGAATACTATTATTAATGATTGTTGACATGGTGTTTCAACTGTAAAAAAGTATCAATTGATATATCAGTAGGATGTTAAAGGAAAAATATGTAGGTGTGGGTGAAGGTATCAAAATAATATTCAAAGAAGGCATTACACGAGGTTAGCCCTGTTCACTAACGATAAGGTTAGCAAAATTGGAAGTTCCTAACACTTCTAACATAATATAGTTAAACTTAATATGATGAGATTAGTTTTTCGTGCCTCTGAATGTTCCGGACAGGGGTGGAGGTTCAGAGTCTTCAAATTGGTTACCACAGGAGCAATTGGGTTGTCCGAATATATCGTGATATTGACGATTTTGCTGTTAACACAAACATATAAAAGGCCCAACCATTTGATGGTTTACTTTTTTTTCAAATTTATAAATATCCACACCCACCAGTTTATCAATAGTTTCGGTAGTTGTTAGGGGGTTTCCCTTAATTTTCTAAAAATTGAATTATTTGTTTTCTAAGAAACCCATTTGATCAAGTCAATTTGTTTGTGCAATTATGCATATATATTAGCACAGGGTATTAACTAATATGTTTTGAAATGAAATAAAAGATATATTCGACTCTTTTCAGGCAAGGACAAAACTGTTACACTAGCCTTATCACTGAACATAACATTGTTCTCAAATGCGGGGTCTCGGGGACTAAATGGTTTGGTCCTAGCAAGAATTGACACAACTGCAAGAAGACGTTGATACCAAAATCGGGTTAGATACTCATGATATCGCCGGATTTTGGTTTATCCTTGATCGAGCCTAGTACCCAGAACTAAGCCTAGGACTGTTCCTTTTCTGGCAAAAGAGTATTGTAAAAAAAATTTCTCATGAATAAAGTGAGGGTACTAACTACACAAATGACCCCCTCTCCATCCTTCATCTCCACTAACGACACTAAATCTTTTTGTCTGTTAGGAATATTCTGTTACTACCTACGAAGCTGCCTATGACCATATAGCGCTAGGAATTCCGTAATGGAAACACCCTTTCTTCAGACGCTCAAAACCTGGATAATGAAGTTGGTATATTGTACGAGTTGGTAATTAAATGCGTACAGGTTTAGATTATATGCTAGGTACATGGCTGCTTTCTGATTAAAGGAATTGGGATGGGGTCGCGATTTGACCCGCCTTGATGGAAATGGGGTCGGAAAAATCAATCAGCGAGAACAGCGGATTTAGGGTATAACTCATGCTGCCGAAACGGTTTCGAATGTGGACGTTTGGAATTTTGTTGTTGTTATAACTTCAAATGTATGACCAAATTAAGTGACAATATCTATTGTGATAGAATCTGAAACCACGATATAACAGTTGGCAAGTGTTTCAGATATTAAAAATCTCGAAATAAGATTAAAAAACCACACCTAAGCAGATCGATCCAACTGGATGTTACAAAGTTATCGAAAACAGCCGTTCTGAATAAGGACACAAAAATAGAATAAATACAATAGTAGATTTGTTTGTGGTCTGAGTCTCTCTCAATATCATGTTGGTAGTCTCGCTTCAATTACATGTTCTCTCTTCGCTTTCGTTACATTTACATGTGTAAAAGTAGGATATAATAGAAATGTTAAAATCACCGTCGCGAATCTTACGTAAAATCTCACGATCATCGCGTCGCCGTAAGGATTTATTACATTTTGAAACTGTAACATTGAAATCTTTTGCAGATTGTTTTATTGTCAGCAAGATAATCGTCATCGTCCAATCAGATTCATTTTCACATGCATGATCGACATAGTGGAAACGAGAGACTGTAGTTTTGTCTCCTCGTGTGCCCATAGTTGATTGGTGAAACTCAAACAAGACTTCAGTCGTCGACAAAATCGCCGAAAAACCGTTAGTGTGCCTGCATCATTCATAAGACAGGATGCAGAAACCGAAACGAGAAATTTAGCTGCGGTAATCGGTAATAATTGTATTCACAGCTCACCTTCGAAATGTGAGCCTCAGATGTATATGGACTCACTCCACTAATTCATTTGCAATCTCTTCCCATGTTAAAACACGAAATTCAACCTTCTACAACTTTTTCCAGAAATCTCGTTGAAAGCTTTCCAATATGTCGTATGAAAGCCTGACCAATTCTCAATGTCTCTTAAAAAATTCAATATATGATGACCATGAAAATTTTGAGCTACTAAAATTGAAAGTAGACTACTACGGGTTATACTCATCCGCTAGAGTTTGGCACTTCACAAAACGACTATTTTTAGAATTAGCCTTCCGCCTTTAGAGTCTCTCATCATCTCACCAATTCTGAAAGATAATGCTATTTCAGACATCAAATTCCAAATCTAGACTAAAAATAGACATGCAAAAACCCCAAAAGAGAAGATTTCTAAAATGTTTTAGTGGAGTGAGTCCATATAGGGGTGTCGTAAGTAAGAGTACAAAAGCAAATATTTAGTATGAGTTATTTCCCTTGAAAACGCGTTCAATATTTAACCTAAATACTCTAGAAGACACAATACTTGATAGATTTTGACGAAACTTGGTATGAGTTATTTCCCTTGAAAACGCGTTCAATTTTTATTCGTAAATAATCTGGAAGGCATTATACTTGATGGATTTGACGAAACTTGGTGTGACTGTTCTAAATCAAGGTTGAACTATCTTAAATCAGAAGAATCGAAAAGTATTTAGTACGAGTATTGCCCTTATTCTTAAAACGCGTTTAAGTTTTAGACTGTAAACACTTTCGAAGGCCAATTTCTTCACTAATTCTGACGAAACTTAGTAATATTATTCAGTATCGCCTAAAAAGTTCAAAAGTATTGCATGACTGAAGGTTGAATATTTAATACTGGTAATATTGTTACTGTACTGCCAAATATTTTTATATAAAATCAAAGCTGCCAGTGGGCGTATATTAACTTACCTGGCAAGCTATCTTTCTAAACACAGTCAATTAAATGAATATTAAATATCAGTGACCTCATGTCATAAGAGAGTCACTCTATATGGTTCAAATTAAATTTTCAAATTTAACCCATTTGTCTCGTGTCCCCTCAAATATATATATCAAAATATATATATTTAATCTGCTTAGTTCCTAAACAAATAGTTTTTGTCGTCTGCAATGCGAATATTTTTCAAAACGATACATATTACAATAAGAGAAAGCTTCAGTTTCTTTGTGTTTATATCAAGTGGTATAAGAGAAATAGGCCTGAATCATAGTATAGCAAACAGTCTGTTGTATTTTAACTGAACGCCAAATCCCCATTGAACCGTTTACACGCTTTTCTTTCTTTCTCGACACACACTGCTTCTCTGACAAGAAGAACACATTGAGGGGAAATAAAAGGCAGTCTCGTGGGTATAATTGTTCGACAAAGGATCACATTAAATACATTTTAAAGTTTGCTCTGTTGCAGTGTTCTCTCAAAGGCTCAAAAGCGTTCTTGTATATACCTGACGATTTCGAAATTCCTGTTAATTGTTATGTTTAAGAATTAAAATATACTACTTGTAATCTACGATTAGTACAATAATATACAATGCTCAAGTAATTGGTATAACAATTGACTACTAGAAAAATGAACCTAGTATCGGTTTGGAACTGTGGAAGATCTGTGTGGATATTACTGATAATTTATGTGGAGTATATAGTTACTCTGGATGAATGGAATGGGTAAGTCAAAAGATTTATTTCTTATCATAAACACCATCATCCTTTAGTATTAGGGAGTGAAAGCCGCATCTGGCGGAAGGCAGCAAAACCATTTTTACCCTAAGGAGGATTCTAACCCACGGTAGCTAACGACGAACATCCAACTCGCTATCAACTGAGCTATACAACTGCACTGTGTTATTGTTCTTTATCAATTATTGCTTTTGTTTCCATCCACAATAAAGTAATCATTAGTAGTAATACTGCATTGTTTGAAAATGATTTTTAAAGCAAATTATTACTCCGAACAAAGCGTGCTGTGCAAAGTTTCATTCAAATGGAATCTTCCGAATCGCACACATTTTATTTGGGTTTGAATATTAGCAGCAAAGTTCATCCAATATTTTACCACCTATTTAAAACATGAAATGAAATGATTGAGTTTAACGTCCTACTTTTTTGCACCTTGTGGGCTCATGAAGACGGGTAACGCCATGAGGGAAATTTTGTCAGGACAGCGGCATTAGCCTGCTCTTTTTTCGATTTCCAACTGTCGAGGGATCTTTTACGTGCACAGTCTGTAGCACACGGGGCCTCGGTTTATTGTCCCATCTGAACGACTAGACGCTTTTTCCATGTCAGCCCCTCTTACCTGCATCACTAACAAGGGGAAACCGGGTTGAAAAATCCGAAGGCATTATCTCGACCTATGCCGGGATTGAACCCTAGACCTTCAGGTTAGCGAGCAAGCGTCTAACTCACTGAGCCACCGCTACTCCCTACCACCTATTTATACGAACACGGAATAGTATGATCAACCTTTGGTCTAAATAGCAGAATCACAGTGGCCACAACAATAACAACAACAAAAAGAAATCACATAATTCTGTACAACCTCGAGGATGCCTACTTATCTTCACTTACTGCTGGATGCTGTCGTTGAATATGATTTTGATAAGTATAGAGATTTGTCCCTATCATCAAAAATGTTATGTGGTATGTTAGCAATTAAAATTGGTGGTCTTTTAAGTCAGTGAATTACCCATCGTTTATATAGTAAATAATTGTAGGTTTACAAGTATTACTTTATCTATCTACCAACTTGATTTGTTTAGACTACTATCTTGCCTCAAAGGCCCGTTTGTATTAAATTGAGGTGTTTTATTAATTTAAATCTTATCGCGGTCGATTCACCTTTTGTCCCTGTTGAGAATTTCCAGATTTTTTATTACACATTTCTATATTAACTTTTTCTGTCTTAATGTGTACTAGCAGCATGAGCTCGTTGTGCCTTACATAAATATGCTGGCCCCTATTTCTCAAAATAAGTCGGCAGCAGGATGAGCTCTAGTCAACCGTATGATTACTTAAACCATCCAGAAAGTTTGGAAACATGTCTTTAAAACTATTGTTAGCTCATTACGTCGATTAACTGGTTAGTTTCATGGGGTGACGAAATATTGGGGTGTTAACACATTATAGACAGAATCAATGGCGTTTCTGGGAACCATCAGGTGGAGATGTCGGGGCCACAGAAATGACAAGGAGGCAAACAGCACCAGGAAATTGAGAACACACTGATAAGAAATTATAAAAGTTGGCAAACCCTCATGCCCAATTACCCCACATCATGTAGAAACGCCACTAAAGATGCCTTCAGGAACAGGCGAATTGTTTATTGTACTGTGGTACTATGTTGGAGAGAAACCCAAATATGTGCAAACTTTCAAAGTACATACAAATTATTTGAAATAAGTTAACAATTTCAACTTGATAACAAATAATTAGAGAACCCAGCCAGACGCTTCCGCTAAATTCTTATATCTACCTTTCTAATGAACTTTATCTACATGTAGTTATGATAAGATCGTGGTGGTGTTATTGGAATAACCATGCATCATCAAAAATACATAATAATGTTGAACATAAGACAACCAAATTGGCTAGTATATTGTGAACATAATCAACACGGAATTTAAAGAACTTCCACAACTGTTCTTGACCAAAATAATTTGTCCATTATGTCGAATTAGGCTCAAACATAAACTTCCTAAACCGTAATGTGCTAAAGTGTAAATTCAGTTGTTCCAGCATTAATAATAATGTACTTCTTCACAGAATATAATCTATAATCAAACTGAAATTCTTTCTCGCATTGATTTTTAACTTAAACAGATCACAAATTATTTCTTATACTGTGTACATTTAATAAAACACATACATTTAAGTTTCCTTTTGAAAACATTATTTCTGTGTTTGTTGACGAATATAACAGGACACAACTCAGACAAGCAATGGTTATAAGTACAGAGAAAGAGTCGACTATTGGATCATTTATTTTAGTTTTTGCTTATTGTTTGTGTCTATTTATAAATGTTCAGTCGAATGTTTGAGAAAATATCTTTTCTCGGTATCTACAGCTGTCCGGGTAAAAATGTGCACATGGTTATGATATTGTAGTGGTGTATCTGTGGAATGTTCATACTCCATGTTTGCTGCCTAAATAAACAATAAGAATTACTTCAGCAACTCATCAATAAATCTGTTCGTCGTCTACCATATGGTTTCCCTTAAGAGTGTTTTTGTTCCGACAGTACTTGATCAGTTTTTTTGTCGATCGGTTGAATTTTTGCGAAAAAGTTGGAAATCTGCGAGCCAAACACTAACTTACAAATTCAGGGGAAGATCTGCCCGATCTGGACTAGATTTTACCTACTGGATACATTTCTTTCCAACATTTTTCGGGAAAAAATCCCATCGACCACAAAAATAATCGAGTACTATCGGGACCAAAACAATCCTTGGATAAACACCAATTACGTAGAGCTGCCCTGATCAATGGGGTCAAAAGAAGGAGATGATCAAAGAAATTTCGGTTTTGGTCCAGAGAGTTTCAGAGTCTCATTTGGTCGACCAATGATATTGGCCATATTTTGAGAAACATAATCGGGATTCTTGCCTATATATTCCAAGACAGATCAGAAAACAGTAGCCAATAATAAAAAAAAAAAAATTCGGGGCTCCAAAGGGTACAATGAATTCAAGCGACCATTTGGCCGGAAAAAAATATTATTCGATCAGATTTCAGATCAGGCGATTTGAAAAACACAATCCTGGGTGAATTACGGGTACGTTTTATACGTACCCTTCAGTTGAAGGAGTTCTTGAATTGTGGACACTTTGATAATCATTTCCTGCGATACCTTTATTAAATTACAGAATAATTAGTGTAAGGAGATAGATAAAATAGATAGTTATTAGTAAAATAAAACCAACGTTTCAACTATAGTAGACTTGTCTTCATAAAGCCAATGGCGACGATGAAGAAGGGTCATGCTATACCTTACTACCCCTTTGCAAAAATTTTGCATCAATTCAATTACATGTATTATCAAAGTAACATTCGAAATTTTGATTACGAGATGGAATTTAATCCCATATATATTTTGGTTGTCAAAATTTCACTTTTAATCTAACACCAAACCAGAAACAAAGCCTCTTCAGCATAAATTAGAAAAAAAACTCAGGTATAATGATCGTTGTTTGTATTTTCCTTAAATAACCCGTCTGAATATTATAATAGTATTTGAAGACAATTCCACTTATCTGTCTGACATTTTCTATTGGTACGGAACATTGTTCTCTCGACTTGTTTTTATATAATTGGCACATTATTTCTTCTATCTTTGACCCTGTTTTGAGATATATGTACTGTGTATCTGTATTTTAAACCATAAACGTGGTATACAAAACATCATTTTCGAGGGTAGGCCTATCTTCTTCTTGCTAATTGAACCGGTAAAGCTCATTTTAAGCTACCTATGCTACTTTTCAAAATTGAAATTCGACGTTGGTTTCAAATCCTGTGTTACATGTTATATCTCCATAGTACATTTGCCGAAGGCTAAGAGATAGAAATGTGAGGTACAGATAAGTTGGAAACGTGAAACATTCGACACAGTTTGAGCTTTGTTAATTTACTACCATTTTACCTCTCCTGAAAATCAAATATTTTGTCGGAAATGTATTCTGACGTCACTTCCGTCAGTGTTGTCTTGCACAGTTATGATACGGAGCATTGCATAGGAGATTGTTGCAAATTCTATATTGGAAAATTTCACTGTACATGCATAACTTATTGGGGAAATACCTTAAATAATTGCAAGGTACTAAAACGAAGTTGGAAACGTGAAACATACGACACATTTCAAGCTTTGTTAATATACTGTCATTTTACCTACCAACGGATTAAGAGTAATCTGACAACGTAATCCAGGCAATAACTTCTGATTGTATTGAATTCTCAAACATATATTTCATCATTAAATAGCTTCTCATTAACATTGTTCAAATAAGCGTCTTTTCTTACTAAACCGTTCACATATCGTGTATCAGAATGTTTGAAATAGATATACTATAAGAAAAGAGTCAGTTGACTTATACAAATAAAATGAATGGAGTTTTACGTCCTACTTTTCTGCAGTTGACTTATACGTAAGATAATCACGTAATTCACTTACGTCCTACTTTTCTGAAGTTGACTTATACGCAAGACAATCACGAGGTCAATATCTTAAACGCAATCCCTGCAGGATATGAACTTGAAAATGATTGATATCGGGCGTAGTGATAATGTAGTTGCTCTGGAGTACGAAACGTTCTTAAAATGGATTAGTTAATACAGACTACTTTTAAAATTTTATCAATTTTTCTGTTCCGACTAGCTAACTTCTCGTACACAATTGAGAGCTACCCGTCATTTGTACTTTCAGTCACCAACATATGTTCGTCTAATGGTAATGGTTTTCCAACAAAACTTCGAATTTATAAAATGCCAAGTCTTATCCGCTTGTATAACACAAAATATATTAAAACAACATATTTTACCAAGAAGAGGAAGTTAATATTGAAATTTTTTATAAAAAGTTAAAATTAGAAAAAGGATGTAGACAATTGAACGTAATTATTTGTTTACTTACTGACCTACTTATAAGAAACACAAGAAACTTAATTTGAAGTAG